CAAACAAGCAATAGTGTGAATAAGCACCTGCGCCTATGCACCCATGCATCGAGCAACGCACCTGCAGAGACTCCTGTGTGCGGCCCGATTCGTGCCGCATCTCCACCATGAGGAGGCTGGGGAGAATGGCGAGCAACAAGCAGCTGCATGAATGTGCGCGCGTGCACATGCACCCATGCAACGAGCAACGTACCTGCAGAGACTCCTGTGTGCGGCCCAATTCGTGCCGCATCTCCAGCATAAGGAGACTGGGGAGAATGGCAAACAAGCAATAGTGTGAATAAGCACCTGCGCCTATGCACCCATGCATCGAGCAACGCACCTGCAGAGACTCCTGTGTGCGGCCCAATTCGTGCCGCATCTCCACCATGAGGAGGCTGGGGAGAATGGCGAGCAACAAGCAGCTGCATGAATGTGCGCGCGTGCACATGCACCCATGCAACGAGCAACGTACCTGCAGAGACTCCTGTGTGCGGCCCAATTCGTGCCGCATCTCCAGCATAAGGAGACTGGGGAGAATGGCAAACAAGCAATAGTGTGAATAAGCACCTGCGCCTATGCACCCATGCATCGAGCAACGCACCTGCAGAGACTCCTGTGTGCGGCCCGATTCGTGCCGCATCTCCACCATGAGGAGGCTGGGGAGAATGGCGAGCAACAAGCAGCTGCATGAATGTGCGCGCGTGCACATGCACCCATGCAACGAGCAACGTACCTGCAGAGACTCCTGTGTGCGGCCCAATTCGTGCCGCATCTCCAGCATAAGGAGACTGGGGAGAATGGCAAACAAGCAATAGTGTGAATAAGCACCTGCGCCTATGCACCCATGCATCGAGCAACGCACCTGCAGAGACTCCTGTGTGCGGCCCAATTCGTGCCGCATCTCCACCATGAGGAGGCTGGGGAGAATGGCGAGCAACAAGCAGCTGCATGAATGTGCGCGCGTGCACATGCACCCATGCAACGAGCAACGTACCTGCAGAGACTCCTGTGTGCGGCCCAATTCGTGCCGCATCTCCAGCATAAGGAGACTGGGGAGAATGGCAAACAAGCAATAGTGTGAATAAGCACCTGCGCCTATGCACCCATGCATCGAGCAACGCACCTGCAGAGACTCCTGTGTGCGGCCCGATTCGTGCCGCATCTCCACCATGAGGAGGCTGGGGAAAATGGCGAGCAACAAGCAGCTGCATGAATGTGCGCGCGTGCACATGCACCCATGCAACGAGCAACGTACCTGCAGAGACTCCTGTGTGCGGCCCAATTCGTGCCGCATCTCCAGCATAAGGAGACTGGGGAGAATGGCAAACAAGCAATAGTGTGAATAAGCACCTGCGCCTATGCACCCATGCATCGAGCAACGCACCTGCAGAGACTCCTGTGTGCGGCCCAATTCGTGCCGCATCTCCACCATGAGGAGGCTGGGGAGAATGGCGAGCAACAAGCAGCTGCATGAATGTGCGCGCGTGCACATGCACCCATGCAACGAGCAACGTACCTGCAGAGACTCCTGTGTGCGGCCCAATTCGTGCCGCATCTCCAGCATAAGGAGACTGGGGAGAATGGCAAACAAGCAATAGTGTGAATAAGCACCTGCGCCTATGCACCCATGCATCGAGCAACGCACCTGCAGAGACTCCTGTGTGCGGCCCGATTCGTGCCGCATCTCCACCATGAGGAGGCTGGGGAGAATGGCGAGCAACAAGCAGCTGCATGAATGTGCGCGCGTGCACATGCACCCATGCAACGAGCAACGTACCTGCAGAGACTCCTGTGTGCGGCCCAATTCGTGCCGCATCTCCAGCATAAGGAGACTGGGGAGAATGGCAAACAAGCAATAGTGTGAATAAGCACCTGCGCCTATGCACCCATGCATCGAGCAACGCACCTGCAGAGACTCCTGTGTGCGGCCCAATTCGTGCCGCATCTCCACCATGAGGAGGCTGGGGAAAATGGCGAGCAACAAGCAGCTGCATGAATGTGCGCGCGTGCACATGCACCCATGCAACGAGCAACGTACCTGCAGAGACTCCTGTGTGCGGCCCAATTCGTGCCGCATCTCCAGCATAAGGAGACTGGGGAGAATGGCAAACAAGCAATAGTGTGAATAAGCACCTGCGCCTATGCACCCATGCATCGAGCAACGCACCTGCAGAGACTCCTGTGTGCGGCCCAATTCGTGCCGCATCTCCACCATGAGGAGGCTGGGGAGAATGGCGAGCAACAAGCAGCTGCATGAATGTGCGCGCGTGCACATGCACCCATGCAACGAGCAACGTACCTGCAGAGACTCCTGTGTGCGGCCCAATTCGTGCCGCATCTCCAGCATAAGGAGACTGGGGAGAATGGCAAACAAGCAATAGTGTGAATAAGCACCTGCGCCTATGCACCCATGCATCGAGCAACGCACCTGCAGAGACTCCTGTGTGCGGCCCGATTCGTGCCGCATCTCCACCATGAGGAGGCTGGGGAGAATGGCGAGCAACAAGCAGCTGCATGAATGTGCGCGCGTGCACATGCACCCATGCAACGAGCAACGTACCTGCAGAGACTCCTGTGTGCGGCCCAATTCGTGCCGCATCTCCAGCATAAGGAGACTGGGGAGAATGGCAAACAAGCAATAGTGTGAATAAGCACCTGCGCCTATGCACCCATGCATCGAGCAACGCACCTGCAGAGACTCCTGTGTGCGGCCCGATTCGTGCCGCATCTCCACCATGAGGAGGCTGGGGAGAATGGCGAGCAACAAGCAGCTGCATGAATGTGCGCGCGTGCACATGCACCCATGCAACGAGCAACGTACCTGCAGAGACTCCTGTGTGCGGCCCAATTCGTGCCGCATCTCCAGCATAAGGAGACTGGGGAGAATGGCAAACAAGCAATAGTGTGAATAAGCACCTGCGCCTATGCACCCATGCATCGAGCAACGCACCTGCAGAGACTCCTGTGTGCGGCCCGATTCGTGCCGCATCTCCACCATGAGGAGGCTGGGGAGAATGGCGAGCAACAAGCAGCTGCATGAATGTGCGCGCGTGCACATGCACCCATGCAACGAGCAACGTACCTGCAGAGACTCCTGTGTGCGGCCCAATTCGTGCCGCATCTCCAGCATAAGGAGACTGGGGAGAATGGCAAACAAGCAATAGTGTGAATAAGCACCTGCGCCTATGCACCCATGCATCGAGCAACGCACCTGCAGAGACTCCTGTGTGCGGCCCGATTCGTGCCGCATCTCCACCATGAGGAGGCTGGGGAAAATGGCGAGCAACAAGCAGCTGCATGAATGTGCGCGCGTGCACATGCACCCATGCAACGAGCAACGTACCTGCAGAGACTCCTGTGTGCGGCCCAATTCGTGCCGCATCTCCAGCATAAGGAGACTGGGGAGAATGGCAAACAAGCAATAGTGTGAATAAGCACCTGCGCCTATGCACCCATGCATCGAGCAACGCACCTGCAGAGACTCCTGTGTGCGGCCCAATTCGTGCCGCATCTCCACCATGAGGAGGCTGGGGAGAATGGCGAGCAACAAGCAGCTGCATGAATGTGCGCGCGTGCACATGCACCCATGCAACGAGCAACGTACCTGCAGAGACTCCTGTGTGCGGCCCAATTCGTGCCGCATCTCCAGCATAAGGAGACTGGGGAGAATGGCAAACAAGCAATAGTGTGAATAAGCACCTGCGCCTATGCACCCATGCATCGAGCAACGCACCTGCAGAGACTCCTGTGTGCGGCCCGATTCGTGCCGCATCTCCACCATGAGGAGGCTGGGGAGAATGGCGAGCAACAAGCAGCTGCATGAATGTGCGCGCGTGCACATGCACCCATGCAACGAGCAACGTACCTGCAGAGACTCCTGTGTGCGGCCCAATTCGTGCCGCATCTCCAGCATAAGGAGACTGGGGAGAATGGCAAACAAGCAATAGTGTGAATAAGCACCTGCGCCTATGCACCCATGCATCGAGCAACGCACCTGCAGAGACTCCTGTGTGCGGCCCGATTCGTGCCGCATCTCCACCATGAGGAGGCTGGGGAAAATGGCGAGCAACAAGCAGCTGCATGAATGTGCGCGCGTGCACATGCACCCATGCAACGAGCAACGTACCTGCAGAGACTCCTGTGTGCGGCCCAATTCGTGCCGCATCTCCAGCATAAGGAGACTGGGGAGAATGGCAAACAAGCAATAGTGTGAATAAGCACCTGCGCCTATGCACCCATGCATCGAGCAACGCACCTGCAGAGACTCCTGTGTGCGGCCCAATTCGTGCCGCATCTCCACCATGAGGAGGCTGGGGAGAATGGCGAGCAACAAGCAGCTGCATGAATGTGCGCGCGTGCACATGCACCCATGCAACGAGCAACGTACCTGCAGAGACTCCTGTGTGCGGCCCAATTCGTGCCGCATCTCCAGCATAAGGAGACTGGGGAGAATGGCAAACAAGCAATAGTGTGAATAAGCACCTGCGCCTATGCACCCATGCATCGAGCAACGCACCTGCAGAGACTCCTGTGTGCGGCCCGATTCGTGCCGCATCTCCACCATGAGGAGGCTGGGGAGAATGGCGAGCAACAAGCAGCTGCATGAATGTGCGCGCGTGCACATGCACCCATGCAACGAGCAACGTACCTGCAGAGACTCCTGTGTGCGGCCCAATTCGTGCCGCATCTCCAGCATAAGGAGACTGGGGAGAATGGCAAACAAGCAATAGTGTGAATAAGCACCTGCGCCTATGCACCCATGCATCGAGCAACGCACCTGCAGAGACTCCTGTGTGCGGCCCGATTCGTGCCGCATCTCCACCATGAGGAGGCTGGGGAGAATGGCGAGCAACAAGCAGCTGCATGAATGTGCGCGCGTGCACATGCACCCATGCAACGAGCAACGTACCTGCAGAGACTCCTGTGTGCGGCCCAATTCGTGCCGCATCTCCAGCATAAGGAGACTGGGGAGAATGGCAAACAAGCAATAGTGTGAATAAGCACCTGCGCCTATGCACCTATGCATCGAGCAACGCACCTGCAGAGACTCCTGTGTGCGGCCCAATTCGTGCCGCATCTCCACCATGAGGAGGCTGGGGAGAATGGCGAGCAACAAGCAGCTGCATGAATGTGCGCGCGTGCACATGCACCCATGCAACGAGCAACGTACCTGCAGAGACTCCTGTGTGCGGCCCAATTCGTGCCGCATCTCCAGCATAAGGAGACTGGGGAGAATGGCGAGCAACAAGCAGCTGCATGAATGTGCGCGCGTGCACATGCACCCATGCAACGAGCAACGTACCTGCAGAGACTCCTGTGTGCGGCCCAATTCGTGCCGCATCTCCACCATAAGGAGGCTGGGGAGAATGGCGAGCAACAAGCAGCTGCATGAATGTGCGCGCGTGCACATGCACCCATGCAACGAGCAACGTACCTGCAGAGACTCCTGTGTGCGGCCCAATTCGTGCCGCATCTCCACCATGAGGAGGCTGGGGAGAATGGCGAGCAACAAGCAGCTGCATGAATGTGCGCGCGTGCACATGCACCCATGCAACGAGCAACGTACCTGCAGAGACTCCTGTGTGCGGCCCAATTCGTGCCGCATCTCCACCATAAGGAGGCTGGGGAGAATGGCGAGCAACAAGCAGCTGCATGAATGTGCGCGCGTGCACATGCACCCATGCAACGAGCAACGTACCTGCAGAGACTCCTGTGTGCGGCCCAATTCGTGCCGCATCTCCACCATAAGGAGGCTGGGGAGAATGGCGAGCAACAAGCAGCTGCATGAATGTGCGCGCGTGCACATGCACCCATGCAACGAGCAACGTACCTGCAGAGACTCCTGTGTGCGGCCCAATTCGTGCCGCATCTCCAGCATAAGGAGACTGGGGAGAATGGCGAGCAACAAGCAGCTGCATGAATGTGCGCGCGTGCACATGCACCCATGCAACGAGCAACGTACCTGCAGAGACTCCTGTGTGCGGCCCAATTCGTGCCGCATCTCCACCATAAGGAGGCTGGGGAGAATGGCGAGCAACAAGCAGCTGCATGAATGTGCGCGCGTGCACATGCACCCATGCAACGAGCAACGTACCTGCAGAGACTCCTGTGTGCGGCCCAATTCGTGCCGCATCTCCAGCATAAGGAGACTGGGGAGAATGGCGAGCAACAAGCAGCTGCATGAATGTGCGCGCGTGCACATGCACCCATGCAACGAGCAACGTACCTGCAGAGACTCCTGTGTGCGGCCCAATTCGTGCCGCATCTCCACCATAAGGAGGCTGGGGAGAATGGCGAGCAACAAGCAGCTGCATGAATGTGCGCGCGTGCACATGCACCCATGCAACGAGCAACGTACCTGCAGAGACTCCTGTGTGCGGCCCAATTCGTGCCGCATCTCCACCATAAGGAGGCTGGGGAGAATGGCGAGCAACAAGCAGCTGCATGAATGTGCGCGCGTGCACATGCACCCATGCAACGAGCAACGTACCTGCAGAGACTCCTGTGTGCGGCCCAATTCGTGCCGCATCTCCAGCATAAGGAGACTGGGGAGAATGGCGAGCAACAAGCAGCTGCATGAATGTGCGCGCGTGCACATGCACCCATGCAACGAGCAACGTACCTGCAGAGACTCCTGTGTGCGGCCCAATTCGTGCCGCATCTCCACCATAAGGAGGCTGGGGAGAATGGCGAGCAACAAGCAGCTGCATGAATGTGCACGCGTGCACATGCACCCATGCAACGAGCAACGTACCTGCAGAGACTCCTGTGTGCGGCCCAATTCGTGCCGCATCTCCACCATAAGGAGGCTGGGGAGAATGGCGAGCAACAAGCAGCTGCATGAATGTGCGCGCGTGCACATGCACCCATGCAACGAGCAACGTACCTGCAGAGACTCCTGTGTGCGGCCCAATTCGTGCCGCATCTCCACCATAAGGAGGCTGGGGAGAATGGCGAGCAACAAGCAGCTGCATGAATGTGCGCGCGTGCACATGCACCCATGCAACGAGCAACGTACCTGCAGAGACTCCTGTGTGCGGCCCAATTCGTGCCGCATCTCCACCATAAGGAGGCTGGGGAGAATGGCGAGCAACAAGCAGCTGCATGAATGTGCGCGCGTGCACATGCACCCATGCAACGAGCAACGTACCTGCAGAGACTCCTGTGTGCGGCCCAATTCGTGCCGCATCTCCACCATAAGGAGGCTGGGGAGAATGGCAAACACCTGAATGGGGGCAAGGAGGATGCACAGGCATGCACGCATGTAAGTACTTACGCCCACAGAAGGACCCATCCTTACCTCCACATCTACAGCTGCAAGCAACGACAGAGTTCCATGCACTCACACCTACAATCGTGCTGCCGGCAATTCCCTTACCTCCACAACCACAGCAGCAACAACAGAGAGCCTGGCCACAGCAGGTGACATCTCCACATCTCCAGCCGAAATAGAAGCAGCAGCAGCACCACCAGCAGCAGGAGAAGCAGCAGCATCAGCAGTTTCTGTTGGTTCTTCCATATCTTCCGTTTCTGCTGCCACTGAGGGTGTGGCTGCATCTGCTCCTCTTGCTTCTGCTGCTGCGACAACTTCGTCTGTGGCTTCACTTGCATCTGTTGGGTCTCTCGTTATTGCAGTTTCTGCAGCTTCTGCCGTTTCTGCAGTTTCTGCAGCTACTGCAGTTTCTGCTGCCACTGAGGGTGTGGTTGCATCTGATTCTCGTGCTACTGCTGCTGACGTAGCTGTTACAGGGAGAGCAACTGCTTTATCGGTAGCTGGTGTCGTTACTGCTGCTGCTGCTGCTGGTGTCGTTACTGCTGTTGGTGCTAGTGCTGCGTGTCTCAACTCAAGTCGAAACTGTCCAGTAAGGCAAAGACCAGAAGAGGGAAAAGCGGCAAGGAGGGATCACCAAGGTGAGCTTGGACAGAGGACGAATCAGACGAGTAGTAAGAGAAATAATAGTAGACACGTTGCTTCTTTCCCTCTTTTTCCTTGGGAGGGGTTGTGAAAAAGGGGGGGTGGCCCGAGGGACAGGGGGGCAAGGGAAAGAGGGGGACAAGGGAAAGGGGGGGGCGAAGGAAAACATGAGCGCAAGCAAAAATCCAGTTCATTCGCCACCCACCTTGAATCCCTCTCTCTCCACGCGCCAGCCCAGCTCCCCTGCTGCTGCCTCCACTCTCCCAACCAGACGCCCCACAGGCGCATGTGACAAGAACCGAGCCTGCTTATAACGCCACACTTCCTCCTCCTCCATTCGTTCCTCCCTCCCCCGCACTTTCGACACGCTCTCCGCACTTACTCCTCCCTCCCCTCCTCTTCTGTCTCCCCCTCCTCCTGCTCCACTCTCCCAGGGTCTCTGTCCTTCCCGTTTCCCACCAAAGAGGGCCGGACTGCTAAACAACCCCCCAAGGTCGAATCCTTGAGCCAAATTTAATAGAGCAAAAGCATTTAACGTCTCTGGTCTCGATCCTTTCTCCCATGCCCCATCCGCCCTCCCTACCCCTCCTCTCACCCCTCCCCATTCCCCTCCCGTTTCCCCCGTTCCTCCCCCTCCTCCCCCTTCCCCCCCACTGTCATCCCCACTATCCTCCCCTTCCGCCTCCCCTTCCTCAATCGTCCCACCAGCCCCGCCTCTGCTGCCCCTCATACCCCTTACAGTCACACTCGTTACCCCTCTCACGCCTGCAGCCAAAAGATGCCTATCTGCATGTGCCTCCTCACATGCACTGCTACACGGCAGATTCTCGCTACAGGGAAAATCCTCGCTACAGCCGGGGTATTGGCACGCCGTCGCGCCCTGACACACACTGGCGTGCGTGCTACAGCCGGGGTTGTAACACACACTCGTGCTGTGGGTGCTGTGACTGCAGCTTGGGCAGCAGCAGGCAGTACTGTTCTGGCTAGAGCTACAGCTTCGGTTGTAGCATGAGCTGGTATCCTGGCTACAGCTGCTGGGGTCACCATGGCATGCATTGCTAGTGCTGTTGCTGCTGTTGAGTGAAAACCCATGAATGATCGTTGGACTGTTGTTGCCGCTGCTTCTGCTCCCGCTTACGCTGGTGCTGGTGGTGGCGGCACTGATGGTGGCAGTGCTTTTGCTGCTGCTGCTGCTGCTGCTGCTGCTGCTGCTACTGTTGCTGCTTCCGCTACTCTTGTTGGTATCACTCTTCACACCAAATGGAGTGTGCTCCACTCCTCTTCCACTCTTGTAATTGAGCACAGGAGTCATGCCTCCCAGCTGACAAGACAACCCCCCTCTGTGTGAACCCTTCAGGTCCCCAGGCCCCTCCAAACCGCTCTGAACCTGTTGCTCATTCTGATGCTGCTGCTGCTGCTCAGAGCATGAAGCACAACCACTGGTGCCCGCACTTGAACCACTGCCTTTGCAAGTCCCAGACGCATTCTCACTACCAACAAGGGTACTACCAGCACTACCAGCACTACCAGCACTGCCAGCAGCAGACTTGGCTGCACCAGAAGCAGCACCACCGGGAGCAGCGGATTTGACAGCACCAGAATGAGCAGCAGCAGCACCAGCAGCAGCAGCAGGAGCAGCAGGAGCAGCACCGAAGGCAGCATCAACATCATTCATATTGTCGTCAGCAGTATCAACAGGGACCGGCACGGGAACATAGTTGGTGCGGAACCATGGGTCCTTTTTTATTTCCTGATACCGGTACCTCTGCACACGCGGGTGGGAATGGTTCAAGGGGCGGGAAGGGTGAGGAAGAAGAGTGTGGAAGAATGATTACGTTGACACAGCACATGCACATAGTTGGTCAAGAACCATGTATCCTTCCTTTCTTCCTGGTATTGATACCTCTGCACACGTGAATTAGTGTTGGGGGGAAGACGGACACGAGAAGTGAATTCAAAGTTTACTCAATCATCAGTTGTTGTTTGTGTCTAGAAAGAGGGACTAGCAGCAAGGCATTACACGCCTTCTTGTCAAACCATAACCAGGCAAGAAAAAACAGTGATGTTGGGCTGCAAAATGCCAGTGATGAGCCTCTTTGCCCCAGCTGAGAAGAGAACCACATGGGGAATTCGCTAGGATGTACGTCTGAAAATGAAAACTCTTTTTTTCCATCAAGACAAGACAAGGCAACCCACACTCTGCTAACTCACCAGTTTAGGGTTGGGCTGCAAAATGCCAGTGATGAGCCTCTTTGCTCCAGCAGAGAACCACGTGGGGAACCCAAAATCCGACCGTTGGATCTGTGTGGAAAGCATAAGTGGAGGAGAGGGGAAGAGGTGGGGGTGCGTGGACGATCAGAAAGCAGAAATCTGAGCAAGCGAGTTCACGTTTAAGTCGACTCAAAAGTGATCTGTGTGGAAAGCATAAGTGGAGGTGAGGGAAAGAGGTGGGGGTGCGTGTGGATCAGAAAGCAGAACTATGAGCAAGCGAGATAACTTAAGAGTCGACTCAAAAGTGATCTGTGTGGAAAATATAACTGGAGGAGACGGGAAGAGGTGGGGTGGGTGCGAAGGGGTATCTGAAAGCAGAACTTTGAACGAGCGAGTTTTGAGGCACCTCGGGCGAGAGAGCAAGGGGAGAGAGCAGAGCAGGGGGAGAGAGCAGAGCAGGGGGAGAGAGCGGAGCAGGGGGAGAGAGCACGTACCTTTTTGTACAGGGAAGGCACGTCAGGCTCGTCAAAGGGGAGAAAGCCAGCAAGGAGGACGTAGAGAATGACTTTGAAGAGAAGAGAAAATGGAGCAGTGAGTGAGAGAGAGCAGGGAGAGAGAGCAGGTACCTTCTTGTAGAGAGAAGGGACGTCAGGCTCATCGAAGGGGAGGAAGCCGGCAAGGAGCACGTAGAGAATAACCCCGCATGACCAGATGTCCGCCAAAACCCCGTTGTAGCCTCTGTCACTCAGCACCTGAGAGTGTGTGTGTCGTGTGTGTGCGAGGGAAGGAAGGGGGGGGGGAGAGGGGGAAACAAGCAGGACGTAGAGAATGACCCCACACGACCAGATGTCTACCAGAACCCCGTTGTACCCTCTGTCACTCAGGACCTGAGAGTGTGTGTGGGGAAGGGGAGAGGAGAGGAGAGCTCTGAAGGCCTATAAAGTGGCTCAAAGGACGTGGAGAGAATGACTTTGCACGACCAGATGTCTGCCAGGACCCCACTGTACCCTCTGTCACTCAGCACCTGTGCATGTGTGCATGTGAAAGGAGGGAGAGGGAAGGAATTGTGAAGGGCGGGAGGAATGGAAGGAGGACTGGTGAGGAGGAGGAGGTAGAGAATGACTCTGCACGACCAGATGTCTGCCAGGACCCCGCTGTACCCTCTGTCACTCAGCACCTGTGCATGTGTGTGGGGAGGGGGGGGAAGAATAGGGAGAGCTGATAACAGTCCAAAGTTCAAATAAGCCTCTCCTTGCAGGCAGCAAAAGCTTCCCAATTCATTTCGACACCGTATCACTACAGAAGCTTCCCAGTTATTTCCAAACCCTTGATCCAAGAGGGATAAGCGTGACGAGCTCCATCGTAAGCCATGCTGTACACGAAACGAATCATCGGAACAAAAGCAAATCTCTCCGAGACACATCAAGAGATGGCAAAATCTTAAGAAACGAGACGACCCATCTGGAGTTGGTGAAAGGCTACCGGCACGAAGCCACAAACACGAAGCCAGCAGGCACGAAGCCACAAACACGAAGCCACAAACACGAAGCCAGCAGGCACGAAGCCACAAACACGAAGCCACAAACACGAAGCCAGCAGGCACGAAGCCACAAACACGAAGCCACAAACACGAAGCCACAGGCACGAAGCCACAGGCACGAAGCCACAGGCACGAAGCCACAGGCACGAAGCCACAGGCACGAAGCCACAGGCCTGTGGATGGAAACCCATGCGCCCAAAGCCCCACGTGCCTCCTACCTCTGGAGCAACATAGTTGGGCGTGCCGCACGTGGTGTGGAGCAAGCCGTCCGCCTGCAGAAACACAAGTACACCAAGAAAGAGGAAACTGCACAATGCTGAGATTTTGCAATTCCAACAAGTTTGAATCCACTCTGAGTCGACAAGATGAGAAGTTCTGACAAGAGACACAGAGTAGGCTACAGTAGTTGTGAAGGTGAACTTACGCCACTTGGTTGACCAGGATGAGGGACAATAGACAGGCCAACGCAGGGAAGATAGGGACGAGCAAATCGATCCAAATATACATGAGTTCAGCAAGAATTGAGCGTTTTTTTTGCAACAAAGTCGTGAACGCAGCAGCACGACTCTCACCCTGACTTGCTGTGGCAGAGCGCTGAGGCCGAAATCCGAAATCTTTATATTATCCTTCGAATCTAGCAGAAGATTCTCAGGCTGGCAGACGGGACGGGGAACACGCAGCACACAAACAAAGAAGGAGGTTAGACAGGCTGGGCCCTCCAGTTGAGCTGAGTGCGACCCCCTCACTTGAGATGCTTGAGCCTGCGGTTGTGTCAACCCACTAGTCTAACTCGCCCATATAGGATTCATAGGATTCCACCGACCTTGAGGTCGCGGTGTGCCACGCCTTTGCTGTGGCAATACTCCATGGCGTCTATCAGCTGCTGGAAATACCGCCGTGCCTCCTCCTCCTCCAGCCGACCCTTGTTCACCTGCGCCCAGAAAGTAGGTGTGCCTACTGCGTTAGAATAAACCTAAATATGACTCAACTCGGTCTCAGCCTCTCAAGGTTAGAAGAATAAACCAGAATCGATCTCATTTCTCAGCACAAGGTAGCATTAGAATAAACCTAAATATGACTCAACAACTCGGTCTCACCACAAGGTAGCATTAGAATAAACCTAAATATGACTCAACAACTCGGTCTCAGCCTCTCAAGGTTAGAAGAATAAACCAGAATCGATCTCATTTCTCTCTGTGAGTCGTGAAGTCGCTCCCATTAACCAAGAACGTAGCCAGACGGCTTTGCTTGCACTCACAATCTTGTCAAAGAGCTCTCCGCCTGTGACGAATTCGAGAATGATATAGATCTTGGTGCGAGATGCGAGAACCTGAAAGGGGGGAGAAAGGGTTGGGAGAGGGGGGAAGGAAGAGGTCAGGATGAAGCTCAGATTTCATACTTTTTCCTATTCATGTTTGCAAGCCACCCTTTCAGAAAGTACTCTCGCTCACCTCATACAGCCGCACCACATTAGGGTGCCGGACGAGCTTCATCACCGAAATCTCTCTCTTGATCTGCACACATACACACACCCACGCAGAGCCATCAAGTAAATCAGGTTAGGGCCCACGGGACGGAACGCAGGGTCTCGCTTATCAGCATCAGAACGTGGAACGACGAACATCATTGCTAAAAAATCGCTGGAACGCGAGGTCCTGCCCCACTCCCTACCTGGCCTGCCATTTCCAATTATCTTCTCGTTATCCAGCACTCTCATCGCCCCCAGTCGTTGTGCCATTATCAGAACCTGCATAAGTTTGCCTGTCCCTTCCCTCACAGCCCTCACAACTCGCACAACCCTCACAGCCCTGGCAGCCTACCTGGTCCACCATTTTATGCCGAATAATTTTCTCCTTATCCAGCACTTTCATCGCCACGGGCTCGCCCGTCGTCGCGTGCACCGCGTATTTCACCTTCGCGAACGTCCCTTCGCCAAGCGTTCCCCCAACCTCGTACTCGCCGATCCGTCGCGGCGCCTGCACGCGCTGCTGCCCACCGCTCATCCTCGCCATAAGTATGTGCTCGGAGTGTGTCCAGAAGCGCAATCTATAGACTCGTTAATAATTATACAAAACGATGCGGAAAGTCCGCTAACACGCTGAATTCCTGGAACGTGTCGAGAGTTTGTCGGATGTGCAAGTGCCAGATGTACAAAGCAGTCACCGCCGGGAGCTACCAGAGAACGGTTTTGTTGCAGTAAGCACTAAAAGCGCGAACTAACCACTACAGGTGCTGCACAAAATATGTTACAAAAAGTGGCTGGCCAATGCGAACTTCAATATTTCGTAAAGCGAACCCTTCACTAACGAGATTCCGATATCGACAAGCGACTATCAGCTGCGTGGTAATTGTCGATCTGACGTGGTTGCTGGACGAGGCGGCTGAAGTATGCGTCCTAATGGTGGTACGACACGACCAGTGTAAACGAAGCGCAACACTCGCCTACTTTTTGAACTCCCGTAACTCGAGAATCGAGACTCCCGTGACTCTCGGTTACGAGACTGGGCTACTACAGCTGAAAAGCCCACTGACGGAGATTCTCACTGACGGAGATTCTCGTCTCGAAAATCCCGTGACCCTGGAACTGGCAAGCCTTCCCTAGGGAATGCTTTTGACGCAATCTTCGGGTGTTCACCTGACACATCTGAGTGCGGTGCAGTACGGTAACTTTTCTCAATGCGGGCATTCTTGGGCTTTTGGATATTCGTATGGTGCGGCGCTGCAAGAGCGTGGTGATGGTATTGCTGCACACGATGCCACTCTGCGCCACGCAGATCCATCGAACGGTTATGCATGCTTCAGATAGTGAATATGTTATTGGTTGCAATTCCCGCCGATTTGCACCACCTGCGATCTTCTAGGGACACGTGGTAGGACAGAGGAGTTGGGCAGGTCAATACATCCTTTCTAGTGAGTGCTTCGAATTGAATATGCAACTCATGCATTCGATAGACAGTAGTACAGCATTGCGTGTGTAAAATTTCACAGTCATGGAGGTCGCCGAAGCTTCGTCTCCCTCTCGAAGGTTCTGCCATGACTCGTGATCCAGAACGTAACATGACAGACACTATCTCGAGGTGTTTAGCAAAGATAAGTGAGAATTTGTCGCAGAGGTTGAAGCTTGTCCCGCGATGACTCCAAAATACAATTCGATATTTGCTATGGAAACACGTCCCGAGTTTTCCCACTTGATAACTGGAAATTCCTCATCCCATTCCAATTCCTGAATTTCGAAGTCACACTTCAGAAACTCGAGGAGGCATTTTAGGTCATCGTGTGTTCTAGGTCCTCCACAGTCAAGTAACTGGTAGTTCCGACTCCTAGCGCTCCCAGCTCTTGTTTCATGACCGACACTACGACGCTACGCTACGTTATCCTCGAAAGTTGCAATATCACTCCTTGCCGGCATCAAAAGTCACGAATAGACGAGACGTAATGGACCATCACGCGCAGCAGAAGAAGAAAGTAGTGCTTCCGACGGTTAATGGCAGCAGCCATCCGCACGTCGTCGGTCCCACGCTCGCGAAATCCCGCGCTGACCTACCCACCGACCTTGAGTCGCGGCTTCAGAAGGCGTGGCTTCAATCTCAGATTCCGGATGCTGCCTCGCTTCGACGGCCGCTAGGTATAAGCTCGTTTCCCTTTTTCATAACTTGACCATTCTCCGTGTTTCTATCCAACAAGACGCTTACTATCGTTGGTGTCACCGAATTCCGTTCGTTCCGTGGTCGTTATTCTTACAAGTAGCGTTGGCACTCCATGCTTTTCAATATTTCAACGTTTACGTGTGTCCTGTTTCACCTCGGGATTTTTTTCTTCTACCTCCTTGTGAACCAGCGGGAACACCGTCGGCGGCGGACGGAATTTCGCCGTCCACCGTCCGCCCGAAGCGGACTCGCTCCCCCGAAAGACCCTCCCGCGCGGGGGGGAATCTCACGCAATCCCTGCAGCAGCTCTGGAAACGAACCTACAGCCCCGGCAGTGGCCCGGGAAGCCCGCGGAGTTCCCAAGGTCTGGCTGGTGCCGCAGGTGCGGGAAATTCTGCAGGCCAAGCACGTTTTTCAGGGCTTCCAGGCTTAGGCTCGGGTGGATCACACCAGCGCGTGGGTTCCAGGCATGCCGGACAGGCAGGTTCGGATCCTCGTGCTAGGTTGGGTAACAGGCTCGGGGTGACTGGGCGGAATGCGGGGTCGTCGCCGTCGGAGTCAGTGGGCACTGCCGTGTCTGGCGTACAGGTTCGGAACGAGGCTCAGCAGGGTTCGGGAACTTCAGGTTCACCACCAGGCTCGGCGCCAGGCTTGGAAGAAGTAACATTCGATTCGCTGGTTCAAGAATTGCTGGGTAGCAACCCCAATGTAATGGATTCGGGTACCGGATTGGGCCTCGGTGCGGAGGGTTTGAGAGAGGTGAGGACAGGTGCGGAAAGGCGAGGGCAGCGGGGAGGAGTTTCGGAGGCTATGAACGTGATCGTCTCAGCGACTAAGGGAAATGCTACAGGCAGCAGATTGGGCGTTGCTTCAACAGCAAGAACAGGAGCAGCAGGAACAGCAGGAGCAGCAGCAGCAAGAGGAGGGGGAGGAGAAACAGCAGCAGCAGCAGGCAATTTGGAGGGCTCTCACAGGCAAACTGGGAGCAGAGTGACGGCTGGGAGGATGCCGAGAGGCATGGGCGGCGGGGACAATGGAAACGGTAACAGTAGTAGTGGTTACGGCAACAGTGATAGTGGTCGGAATGTGAACAGTGTGCCTGGGAGCGGGTCCATGCATCCGTTATTGGCTGACCTGTTAGTAGAAGGTTTGGACGAGCCTGTAGAGCTACAGGTTGACTCGAGTACAGAGATGAACAGTACAGATATGAACAGTGCGGGAACTAGCAGTGCGGGACAGGGGTGGACTGGGGAAGGCACATCTATGGATGTTTCTACTGATTCTGGCCCAGAAATGAATCTAGATGCTTCTCGTAGTGATGCTGGTGCTACTGCTGGTGCTAGTGGCGGTTTCGGTTTGGGTGCTGCTACTGATGCTGGGATTGATAGTGCTGCTCCTGGTGTAGGTACGGTTGGGAGCGGTGGCAGCAGTGGCCTTGGGATTGCCGAGATGGGGCTGGATGGAGGGTCAGGATGGGCGGATCTCGGTGTAGAGGAGTTTCTGCGTGGTTTAGATGGGCTTGATAACGCGTTTGTAGAGTTAGAAGATATGTTTCCTGTGGCGATCGCGCCCACTCCTCCCCTTGAGGCTCCTGCTTCCGCCCCTTCTGCTGCAGCTGGCGGCGGTGCTGGTGGTAGTGGCGGAAATGCTTTTGACGATATGATGGTGGATGATATGGGTGGAGCAGAAGCAGGAGCAGCAGGAGCAGGAGCAGCACCAGGAGTAGCTTCAGGAGCAGGAGATGCAGATATGGTTGCCTTTGTGCAAGAGCTTATGGATCGAGGGAAGGGGATGGTCTATACTAACAGCGGGAGCTTAACTGATACAACAGATACGACAAATTACACCACCACCACTGGAACTGCAACCGTGACTATTAGCAACCGCCAAGGCAGCAGGGGACGTTCGGCGACGACCTCGAGTTCAGGCTCGGAAGCCACTGCGCCTTGGAGCCCGAAGCTGCTGGAGGAAGGGGAGGGCGGGAGGCAGGCTTGGGCGGGGAAGGTGACTCCGGAAGAGGCTCGGCAGGCTGAGGAAGCTCTAAGGAAGCTTCATGGGGAGTGTACTAAGCGGTGGGAGGAGAGGAAGAGGACGAGTAGTCAGGGGGAAAGCAAGAAAAAGGGGTGCTGCTGTGTTGGGGGGGATGGGGAAGGGGATGGAGGGGTGTGCATGTGTGCGTGTTGTGACTCTGCTACAAGTGCCGCTGATGCTGATGGTGCTGGTGCTGTTGCTGTTGCTTCTGGTGCTGTTGCTGTTGCTTCTGGTGCTGATGCTGCTGCAATTGCTGCGGGTACAGCTAATGCTGCTGCTAGGGATCCGCAGCTAGTAGCAGCGGATCAAAATGGAACAGCTGACGCTGGAGATGATACATTTTCGAGAGAAGCAGCAGTAGGAGGATTAGCAGCAGCAGCAGGAGCAGCAGGAGTCGGGGACGGAGCAGAAGCAGCAGCAACAGCGCCGGAGCAGCTAAACAACCAGCTTGGCACACAGAAAGCAGTGTGCTGCATTGGCCCCGACTCATGGGGAGAATGCGCCAAGAAGGGAGACCCAATCGCCCTCCTCGTCTCAGTCGCCAAGGCCATCGTCTCAGGCGACCAGGCACGCGTGCATCAGCTGCTATCAAGCCTTAATGAAGTGGCTTCAGTCTACGGGACGGTTACTCAGAGGCTCTCGGCGTATTTTCTTGAAGGGCTGATTGCTAGGGTTGCCGGGGCTCCGCCGAAGCACTCCCCGAACCTGTTTCACAGGTTTGATGCGAGCTCCGGGGTTATGGGGAGGTTTGGCGGGGAGGAACGGGCGGGAGGAGCGGAAAGGGGGGAGGAGGAGGAGTGTAGGGAGGGGAGAGGGGAAGGGGCGGGTTTTGGTCAAGGGTATGCAGCTGCAGGAGGGGATGTGGGGGAGCAAGGGGAGGCGTTTCTAGACAAGGGAGGGCCGTTTTCAGACCAGGGAGAGCAAGGAGGGCCGTTTCTAGAGCAAGGAGAGCAGGGAGGGCGGCCGTTTGAGCAGAGGCAAGAGGCGGGGGAGTTGACTCCAGACGAAGCTGCTCTGATTTCCAGTAGGGGGACAGTTTTTATGTCAGGGGAAGCCACAGGGCTGGTGGTTCCCCCGCCCTATAGGGGCGTGCCTGCTCCGGTTTCTCCCCCCAATGTCGACTGCAACCGCACACTGCTGGAGTCATTTCAGGTAAGCGCCATTCTTTTTTGAAGGGGGGCGAAGCTGATCTGATTTCCAGTCGGTGGATGGTTTTCATGCTGCGGGAATCCACAGGAGTGGTGGTCTCGCGCGCCTGTAGGGATGTGCCTGCCTGCTCCTGTTTCCCCTCCCAATGTCGACTGTAACCGTAACCGCACACTGCTGGAGTCGTTTCACTTGCTGCGAGCACCTTTTGTATGCAGGCGCGCCCTCATGCTAGCTATCATTGCTCTGTTCCTTCCATTTTCGACTGTGCATGCCCGTTTTTCCCTCCCCATCCCTGTCCCCCCAGGTGCTGGTGAACGCAACACCCTTCCTGACCTTCGGCCAGGTCGCAGCCAACAGCGCCATTCTCGAAGCTCTAGCGGACGAACCCCGGGTTCACATCATCGACTTTGGCATCGGTCACGCACTTCAGTGGCCCGCTCTCCTGCAGGCGCTGGGTGCTCGACCCGGAGGGCCTCCCCACGTGCGCGTGACTGGCATTGAGGTGCCTCAGTGCGGAGCCATGTCTCCTTATTGTGCGATGAAGGCAGGGAAGCGACTGGAGGTGAGTCGAATTGTGAGGGTTCTCAACCCTCCTCACGTGCGCGTGACGGGGATAGAGGTGCCTCAGTGCGGAGCCATGTCTCCTTACTGTGCCGTGAAGGCAGGGAAGCGGCTGGAGGTGAGTCCCTTGGGGCATACATAGCACGCAGAGGCATGCACTAGTGAAGCCCTGCAGTGGCCAGCTCTCCTGCAGGCTCTGGGTGCCAGGCCGGGGGGGGCGCCTCACGTGCGCGTGACTGGGATAGAGGTGCCTCAGTGCGGAGCAATGTCTCCCTACTGTGCCATGAAGGCAGGGAAGCGACTGGAGGTGAGTCGAATTGTGAGGGTTCTCAACCCTCCTCACGTGCGCGTGACAGGGATAGAGGTGCCGCAGTGCGGAGCCATGTCGCCCTACTGTGCCATGAAGGCAGGGAAGCGACTGGATCGACGTGCTTCAGTGCGGAGCCATGTCTCCTTACTGTACCATGAAGGCAGGGAGGTGAGCCCTTTCTTTTGGGTCGTATACATTGCACACAGCCCTTCCCCCCCCCCCACTCCACACCCACACACACAGGGGCATGGCATATCACTCTGCCTCATGTGCGCGTGACAGGGATCAAGGTGCCATGCCCCTGCGTGGCATCGCCCCGCACTTGCCTCAGTGCGGGGCGATGTCGAGGACGTCACCCCCTTCCATGCTTAACCTGCACTGCACCCAGTGAAAGCCGTTCTCTTGTGTCTTGAAAACGAAGCTTTCTCTAAACCTGGCGAAATTTCCCTCTTTGTGCCCTGTCTTCTCTCTCCCTCCCCCTCCCCTCCCCTCCTCCGCCACCATTCAGCAGCAGCCATGTGGGGGGTGCCTCTGCACTACCACTGGGTGATGTGATGTCTCGTCTCGAAGACGTCACCCCCTCAATGCTCAACCTGCATCCAGGGGAAGCCATTCTCTTGAGGCGAAGAGCTTTCCTCACCCCCATTCTCCTTTCCTTTCTTCCACACACCCCCTTTCCACTCACCAGTCAGCAGCAGCCATGTGGGGGGTGCCTCTGCGCTACCACTGGGTGATGTCTCGTCTCGAAGACGTCACCCCCTCAATGCTCAACCTGCATCCAGGGGAAGCCATCGCTGCCAACTGTGCCCTCCGCCTCTCCCAGCTCCTCGACGAATCAGAGCAGCCCAATGCTGCCGCCAACCCTGCCACCGCAGCTAGCACGGTGTTCGCCAAGCCTGTTTCCGAGCCTGCTCCCGAGCCCGTTTCCGAAGTAGCGGCAGCAGCAGTCGGAGCGGATGTGGACAGGAGGGCAGACGTGGATGGGGCGTATCTAGACAGGTCGTATCTGGACGGCTCAGATTCAAACAGGGCATATCTGGACGGCTCAGATCCAGACAGGTCGTACCTGGCGAAGGCAGATTCGGACGAATCCCCGCGTACGAGAGTGCTGCGAACGATCCGGATGCTGAGGCCCAAGGTGGTGACGGTGGTGGAGCAATACAGCAACCACTCCTCGCCCTTCTTCCTCGCGCGGTTTTATGAAGCCCTGTATTACTACGCTGCGCTGTTTGAATCTATCGATGCGTCGCTGCCGAGAAACGAGGTCGCAAGAAGAGTGTTTGAGGAACAGGTGCGTCTCGTTGTGTGTCCGTCCGTCCGTCAGTCTGTTTGTCCGTGTGTGCTGCGAACGATCCGGATGCTGCGGCCCAAGGTGGTGACGGTGGTGGAGCAATACAGCAACCACTCCTCACCCTTCTTCCTTGCGAGATTCTATGAAGCGCTCTACTACTACGCTGCTTTATTCGAGTCGATTGACGCATCGTTGCCCAGGAACGAGGTCGCAAGAAGAGTGTTTGAGGAACAGGTGCGTCTCGTTGACTGTCCGTCTGTCTGCCTGTCTGTCTGTCTGTCTGCCCGTTTGTGCGTGCTTGCTGGTCGCCTGGACTTCATCCTGTCTGCTTGTTCTGTTGTTCCCACTGCCTCCGACATTGCCGTTTCCCTTGCTTCTTTCCTCCACCAAATCTTCAGGTGCTAGACCGCGCAATTGTGACCCTGTTGGCATGTGAGGGTCAGCAGAGGGTGGAGAGGCAGCAGAGGCTATTGTTTTTCTCTCTTGTTTTCCGTTGCTCCTCATTTCTCCCACCCAACAGGTGCTAGGCCGGGCGATTGTGAATCTGGTAGCATGCGAGGGGCAAGAGAGGGTGGAGAGGCAGGAGCCGTTGGAGCAGTGGCAGCAGAGGATGCTCAGAGCGGGCTTCAAGCCTCGAGGATTGAGCGAAGGGGTGGTTACCACCCTGCATGCACTGTTACAAACGTAAGTCTGGTTACCATTCTGTATGTTGGAGACAGCTAAAGGTAAGAGCAGAAGCGTGTGAGGAGCAGGAGAGGGTGGAGAGGCAGGAGCCATTGGAGCAGTGGCAGCAGAGGATGCAGAGGGCAGGGTTCAAACCCCGGGGGCTGAGCGAAGGGGTGGTTACCACCCTGCACGCACTGTTACAACGTGAATCTAGTAGTGGTAACTTCCTTGTTGGGTTACAAGGTAAGACCGGTTCTCACTTCGCATGGTAAGAGTTGAGAAGTGGTGAGAGCCGTTGGAGCAGTGGCAGCAGGGGATGCTGGGAGAAGGGTTCAAGCCTCGTGGGCTGAGCGAAGGCATGGTTACCACCCTGCATGCACTGCTACAGACGTGAGTGTGGTTACCACTGTCCACTAAGAAATAATAAGAAAAAAAGTCTGAGCTGACCTTTGCTTGTCGGCTAGCAGATGTGATTGTTTTGTCAAATAATCGCATCCTCATCCTTGTCTGATCCATCTTCCATGTGGTTTGCGTGTGATCTGATTTTCCTGTGGCACTGATGACATGTTACTACGTATTTTAATGTGGCATGATGACACATGGTGTGGGATGATGACACGTGGCATGGCATGATGGCACGTGCAGGTACAACAAGGTGGGGCATGACGTGCGGAGAGTAGACGAGGCGAGCGTGGTGCTGACGTGGAAGGGCAACCCCCTATTGGCCATGATGGCATGGGAGCCGCAGGAATGACGGGATGGGAGGATGGCACGTGGTAACCAGATGTGCGTATTGCATGGTTACCACATGACTGAATAACTGATCTGATGGTTGCGTCTACCACTGGACTGGAGAATTGATGGCATGGGATGAGAACGTCAGGGATAGTGGTTACCAGATGGTTATCCGGTAACCAGATGCGGGATTGCATGGTTACGGTACCACAGTACTGCAGAACTGTTGGCATGGGATGGGATTGAAAGAAATCGCAGGGAAAGTGCTCGCTGGGAGCACACGTGGTAACCAGATGGAAAGTCATGTGGTTACTGCGGGACTATTGAAGACATACCGTAGCCAGGGCCCAAATTCAAGGGTATTTACCCTTTTTGCCCTGCTCATAGGCCACTTTTTGGCAGTTACCCTTTTCAAATCAGGGTATGCAGATTTTTACCCTAGTGCAATCAGAATACGCTTAAAAGTACTCTTGTAGCTTTTCCAGTTACATTGACTGTATCAGGGTAGGGGTTCAACTACCCTTTTACCGGAACTTTTCCGTACCGCGGATTCCGCCACAGTCCGCGCCACGACGAAATGCTCCACGGTCCCACTGGACCATTTGTTGGATACACCCACTGGCGCGCCAACGTACATTCAGGGCGGATGGCACCGCACACCTACGATTGGTCCGTTGAGCGACATTGAAGCCAACGCACCCAGTTTCCGTGCGTCACGCAACATCGCGCACTGCCAACGGAGGCAAATTGCGCGCCAGGTGGGGTACGTGCTGTCGTTTCCACCACCTGGCAGTCACTGTGGCCTTGCAGCCATTGCCGTGCAGTTCCCTACCAGCGAGGGAACCTTGCTGCCTGAGGCGCCTTGGGCTTTGTGATTCCCGAGGGGTCTCTCAGGCTCTTGCCATTCTCTCGTTTCCCTCTCGTTTGTTGTTCCGAATGCCTGCCTCTGAGCCTGATCCGCCTGGTAGCACCAGGAACGGTCTCTCCGTTCTCGGTGTGTTACCTCGGCTGGCTGAGAACTATAGCGTCCCTATCTCTCAGCCTGCGCGTGAGCCATTTCCTGAATTTCTTGTCGGCACCGTTTTCCCGTGCGAGCGTTCGGCCTCGCCAAAGTCCCGGGAGCCACACCCGTCTCTCGAGCTTGTTCCCGATGGCGGCGAAGGCCCGTCGAAGCCGGCCACTGCAGCCCCGTCCACAATTAGCTCCGCGCCCGCGAAGCGACAGCGTGTGGGCGTGACATACAAGCAGCAGAGGCTCTGGGGCGCCCCTCCTCCACGACAAGAGGCATCACCGCCACGCCGTGCTGCTCCTGCTCAGCCGAAGCCTCCAACCGCTTCTGCAGAGGCTGAGTATGAGTTGGTAAAAACGACTTTCGATTCGCAATGGTCAAAGAAATTCAGTTGGCTGCGCTTAATGCGCATGACTAACGGCAGGCCGTCATTGAAATGTGCCATCTGCATCAAGCACGGGGATCCAAACGCGCACACTGCCTACGGCGTCAGAGGTGAGGGTGCCCGAGACATGCAGCTAGGGAGCATCCGCGCGCACACATCAAGCAGAGCCCACAAGCAGGCCTTGGAAAACGAGGCCAAAGCAGACGCGGAAAAGGCGAAGCAAGCCACACTAACAAGGTGGCAGAGCACTGATGCAGCTACATGGCACATCATCCGCTGCCTCCACCTCGCGCTCTTCATCTGCAAGGCTGACGCGCCAATAGCAATGTTTGTTCCTTTGTGCTGGTTTCTGGCTAAGGAAGGACTGCCGGACCTTCCACCGTCTGGAGGGTACGGCGCCTACTACACCGAGTAAGTGCGGGTTCGTGGCGCTTGTGTTTGTTCCGTGACTCAAGCTGACCAGATGCTACTGCAACTTGTGTTCGTGTACCATGTGTGTTGTCCTCGCAGCTACGGATTCAAAGAGATGCTGCGCGCAACCTCCACTTACCTTCAAGAGACTCAACGCGGCCACCTTCTGGAATCCCCATATATAGGGATTCTTCTGGATGAGAGCACCGACCGGGTGAATGGCAAGCACCTGATACTGTATGCGACATTCTTCAAAGGGGTAACTCCGGTAACGGAGTTTTTAACTCTCATTACCGTGGACCGTGCCGATGCGGCCTCGCTAACCCCCGCTGTTGTGCAGTACCTTACAGGAATCGGGGTGGATCTCCAGAGAATTTCTGGAATATCTACGGACGGGGCGAGTGTGATGACCGGCAAGAACAACGGCGAGGAGTTTCATCAGGCGCTGGGGAACATGCTGCGCGACGAGGCGTGGCGTGCGTCGTTCCCCAACATCGTCCGGATGTGGCAGTCTGTCGCCGTGCTACCACTGAGCACGGTTGAATGTGAGCGCGGCTTCAGCAAGCAGAACCTGATCAAGACGTGGGACCGCGGCAGCCTCGGCGACACAAGCCTTGAGCACCTGATGCGGTGCTCCCTCCTGCAGTACGACATTGACTGGTATGAGGTGGTCGCCATATTCCGCGGGGAGAAGCTCAGGCGATCCACCAAAGACTTCTCCGGCATGAAGGCCAGCAGCACTAAGCAGTTTGCAGACGAGGCAGTTGCTAGTGCAGCAGATGTTGATTGACTAGTGTATTCTGTAGGGCCCTTTATTTAACTTGGTTGGTAGTAAAGCTTGTAGGTGCAGTGCAGAACACTTTAGTGATAACTAAGTAATTGTTGTAGTAGTACAATCTTATGCTTAGGAAGGAAACAGTGTACGACATATATTATCCTGCCAAAATCAGTGTACCAAAACTTTTAGGCTGCTACAATCAGTGTACGAGAAACTTTACCCTACCAGTCAGGGTACGGAGGGGATGCCACCCTGATTTGAAAGAGTGAGCTAAAACCTATTTTGGGCGTTGACCGTAGCGTGGGATGGGATGGGAAGGAGCGCAGAGGTAGTGAAAGGTCACTCGGGTAACCAGATGAAGGTATGGCTTTAGTGGTTACTGTATGAAGGGATGGCGTGCAGACCACAATAATATTGCAGTGATGTGTGCCTGGTTGTTTATATAGACGTTTTGCCAAATTGCTGTAATTATACTAGCATAAACAATTTATCTATACTAGTGACTATTTATTCTGCTTCAAGCTGCAGGGATTGACCATTTTCATGGTTTGTTTTGTGAGAGAGTGACTATTTCTATCGTGGTTGTAACAAGAGCAATATCTCTCTCCATTACCTTCATCCAATTCTCAAAGTCTCCTATTTCCTGTAGAAAACAATTCAAGCACCACCACAGTATAACATAGCGGTAGTGTTCACATTGCGAAATACATCAAAGAAGGGGGAGGGGGGAGGGGTGGGGGGGAAGGGGGTGGGAGGAGGATGGCAGGGAGTGAGGAAAGGACAGGGTGTGTGAGTACTGTGAGAAGTTATCACATTCCATGTGCATGAACATGTGTGGTGTTTAAACATCTAAAAACTGCACATGTGTGTCAGAATGCCGCCCATTACCCAATCCAACAGCTTCAAGCTTCAAAACCAACATATGATGCCATTTTCTACACTGTCCGGAATGTAAGATTGAAGATTTCCATGAACAGTGATCAAGGTTAGCAGCTTGAACTCATGATTGTTGAATGCTGCGGCCCATCTTCTGTGTTGCTCCTGATACCGCCCCACCTCAGATACCACCTACCCCAGCTTTCCATGAACAGCGATCAAGGTTAGCTGCTTGAAACGATGGCTGTTGAATGCTGTGGCCCATGTCTGGTGCTGCTCCTGATTCCGTCCCACCTCAGATACCACCTTCCCTGGATTTGACCTTCATTGCTGTATAAAGGGGCATACCCTGCTTGATTGCCTTCATTTCTCACCTTGATCGCTGTGTGAAGCTCATTCAGTGCGGTGCCCCACTTTCTGTGCTGCGCCTGGAAACGGGACACCTCAGAAACCACCTCCCCCAGCTCCGCCTGCACTGCTTGCACGATGTAAGGGCTTACCTTGATTGCTGGATGGAGCTCATTGAATGCTGTGGCCAATTTCTGGTGCTGCTCCTGATACCGCCCCACCTCAGATACCACCTACCCAAGCTCAGGTACCACCTCCCTCAACTCAGATACCACCTCCACAAGCTCTAACCGTGATTCCCTTCTACAGGGGCTTACCTTGATTGCTGTGTGAAGCTCGTTCAATGCTGTGGCCCACTTTCTGTGCTGCTCTTGAAACCGTCCCACCTCAGATACCACCTCCCCCAGCTCCACCTGCATTGCTTGCACGATGTAAGGGCTTACCTTGATTGCTGTGTAGAGCTCATCGAATGCTGCGGCCCCATTTCCAGTGCTGCTCCTGGAACCCCCCCACCCCAGATACCACCTCCCCCAGCTACGACCTTAATTGCCTTTTTTCAGGCTCACCTTAATTGCTGTATGGAGCTCATTGCTGTGGCCCACTTTCGGTGCTGCTCCTGGAGCCGCACCACCTCAGATACCACCTCCCCCAGCTCCGCCTGCACTGCTTAAATTGTATAAGGGCTTACCTTGATTGCTGTGTGAAGCCCATCAAATTCTGTGGCCCACTTTCGGTGCTGCTCCTGGAACCGGGACACCTCAATCACCACCTCCCCCAGTTCCGCCTGCACTGCTCCCTCCTGCCTCACGGTCTCCCTCACACCCGACGCTTCACTAAGTGTTTCTCTTAGCGCTGCTGCCAGTGGCTCTGCTGCCGCCAGCGATGCCAGTCTTGCCTGGACTGAAAGTAAGAAGGGATGATTTGCGGAAAAAAAAAAGAACAGGGAGGACAGATAAAGTGGGCTTTTTCATTTCAGCACTTCAGAGATGATTATTGTAAGGCCACCAAAAACGTACGACTGCCTCCAGCTCTGACTAAGCACCTCCCTGACACCGGAAGCCTCGCTAAGTGTTTCTCTTAGCGCTGCTGGCAATGGCTTGGCTATTGCCATGAACGCCAGTCTTGCATGGAAGAATGGCAAAAAAGGGAAGTGAGAAGGGAAGGGAGAGAATGGCAGAAAGGGAGAGGGAAAAGGGGCGGTTGTTGGGGGTTTGGGAAACTTGAGCATTCTAAACTGTTTGCTTGAGCTGGGAGTTTAGGGGTGGTGATACTCGGAGCAGCAGCAACGAAAACAAATCTTACCCAGTCGTTCCTGTGTAATGCCCTCCTCCGCGTTTTCCGGCGGCGCCTTTCTGTCGCTTCGCGTCTGGTACATTCTTAACTGCCACTGACGCTTAGGAGCAGGAAGCGTGGATTATATTCAGCAGAGGATATCCAGGGACAAATATTTAGGAACTACTTACAAACGTCTAGCTGAAAAATGCATTGAATTCGCCACTGTTAGCTGAAAAATGCATTGAATTCGCCACTGTTGACCTAAGAGACCTAATTCAGATGCCGAGGCGCAAGTTACGACGGGCTCCTGCCAACGGTCACATGTTGGCGAGTGTTGACGAAAGCTTGTGAGTGTTACCAGGATTGTTCAATTGCTCTAGCAACTTGCATAGCATAAAAACTAGTCTCAGGAAAATCACTAGCAGTTGTTAGCCATTCGTTTGTGGAAATCACAGCACGTAACAATGCAATCTCTACACTAATTGAGCATTTCCTTCTCTTTCATATGCATGCACAGGGATGTATACGACTGTACTGTAGCTTGACAGGACTGCACCTGGCACCTGCTGACACTGAACACTAGGGCATGGGGCATGGCGTGTACGGTACTCAGCAAATAAATGCACCCCTCCCTTGGATCTTCTCTATGATGCTGCAGTGTAAAAATAGACTGACTGGATCCCAAGCAGCATTTCAAATCCCCTCTCTGCAACACGAGAATAAAATGGTACAAGAGTTGGAAGCGGTTAGACCAACATTTTAAAGCATACCCCAGTGTAACCAGCCGCACAAGAGCATGGAAACAGATAATGCGAGAAGAACGAACCTGCGAGGGAGCCTAGAAGAGGAATCGGGTGAACAAATGATCGAATGCCTTCTAGAGGATGCCTGCAAGCAAGCATGGCATGAAGGGACAAGTAACACAACAAAATGCGCATTCGGTTCAACTTATAAGGGGGGCAAGGGCAAGAAGAGGAATCGGGCGAACAAATGATCGAATGCCTTCTAGAGGATGCCTGCAAACATGGAAAGAAGGGGTAAGCAAGAAAACAGAACCCCAGTTGAGTAAACTTGTAAGGAAGCCGAGAAGATAAGTCGGGCGAAGAACAAAAGATTGAATAAAAACAGAACCAGCTAATTATGGAATCAAACCAGGGTTACCTTGTGACGGCATCGAAGCAGGGCGAGCAAAGGAGGTACATGACTAGCAGCATGCATGACGTGTGAGGGAATCTAGTCTAGACCCCCCCCACAGAAGGCCACAGGGTTACCTTGTGACGGCATCAAAGCAGGGCGAGCGAAGGAGGTACATGACTAGCAGCATTCGCCGCCGGGCAAGCTGTGGCAGCAAGATTGGCAGGGAGGGAAAAAGCGAGAGGAAGAATAGGCCACATGCGAAAAAAATGCGAGGAAGTTGCAAAAATAAGGATCCCTCATTACGGGTCACCAAGGCATTCAAAAACATGGTACAAGCGCGTGCACACACATACGCACACTTCCAAACATAGGCTGTTTGCTCGTAACAAAAAAAAAACTAGTACTCACATTGGCTCGCTCCTTCTGTGCCTCCCTTACCTCCGTCCTTCTGACATCAGCAACTGTAGCAGCAGCACCAGAACCAACAGAAACAGCACAGCTACCAGACCCATTCACAGCATTAATCCTTCTACTTACATCGGCTCGATCCTCATCCGTCAGCTGAAACACCTCCGTCTGTGCCTTCCCTCCATCCGCGCTGCTGCTGGCATCAGCAGCTGTAGTGGCGGAACAAGAATCAGCAACAGGAGAACAAAATTACAGCATTGTTTCTATCACTCACATCGGCTCGCTCCTCATCTGTCAGCTGAAACACCTCCTTCTGTGCGTTCCCTCCATCCGCGCTGCTGCTGGCATCAGCAGCTGTAGCAGCAGAACGAGCAGCAGCAGCACCGCAACCAGACCCCTCCGCAGCAGCAGCAGAAGCAGCTGCAGCATCAGGGCCATCATTGGCAGCAGTAGAGGTAGAAGCAGACGTAGAGCGATCAGCAGCCGCAGCAGCAGCGGCGGCGGCGGTGGCGGCAGACTGAGAGGCGAGGCGATGGAGGAGGAGGGAGGCGACGTCGAGGGAGAGGGAGAGCAGCCAGGGGTTCCATCGCACCCACCACCACCACCACCGCCTGCCTGGTTGCCCTGGTAGTGGTTTCACAGCGGCACTGCCTGGAACGAACACACATGGAGATTCCAATGGAGGGGGGGGAAGGGAGCAGGGCAATTAGAAGCAGCAGCAGAAGCAGCAGCGGAGGCAGCGGCAGCAGCACGGGAGGCGAGGCGATGGAGGAGCAGAGAGACAGCGTCGAGGGAGAGGGAGAGCAGCCAGGGGTTCCATCGCACCCACCACCACCACCATCTCCTGCCCGGCTGCCCTGGCAGAGGTTTAAGGGTTGTTGTCCCTGGAGTGAAGAGAGGTAGAGGGAGAGTTAGAAGAAGTGAGGGAGAGGGAGAGGGAGAGGGAGAGCAGCCAGTGGTTCCATCGCACCCACCACCACCACCACCGCTTGCCTGGCTGCCCTGGTAGCGGTTTGAGAGCTGCTGTGCCTGGGATAAACATACACGAAGTTAGCAGGGAGGGGCAGAGCGATCAGCAGCAGCAGCAGCAGCAGCAGCAGCATGAGAAGAGGAGATGGAAGCTCTGCCTGCGGTTGTCCCCAAAATCAGACGAAGAAGAAAAAAGAGAAGAAGAAGAAGAAAAAAAAAACTTGGAAACAAAAAAAAAGGAACAAAAGTAACTTGTGTGTTTACTGCCTTACCTGAGGAGGACCGAGCTGCTCTATTTTTTAGTCGACTCAAAAATGTGTTTACTGCCTTGCCTGAGGAGGACCGAGGTGCTCTACTTTTGAGTCGACTCAAAAATATGTTTACTGCCTTGCCTGAGGAGGAACGAGCTGCTCTATTTTTGAGTCGACTCAAAAATGTGTTTACTGCCTTGCCTGAGGAGGACCGAGCGGCTCTGGCAGCGGCTCGAATGGCGAGCACGTAGAGGAGATGGGGAGAATGGAGATGGAAGCTCTGCCTGTCCAAGTGCCTCTATAGAGAAACTGGGAGGACCTTGAGGATGTGTTTTTTGAGAATTCTCAAAAGATCTCTAGCGTGTGGCTACCCTACTTTGGCACGCAGCATAGCGGTGTTTGTCCTCCCACCTGTGGAGTGGATGAGTTGCCCTCAACTGCTCTGGACCGAGGTGCTCTGGCAGCGGCTCGGATGGCGAGCACGTAGAGGAGCCAAGTGCCACATGACCTTGGGGAAGGATCTTGAGGACGTCGAGGAAGGATCTCTACGGTGTGGTTACCCTACTTTGTCACACAGAGTAGAGACGTTTGTCCTCCCACCTGTGGATGAGTTGCCCTCACCTGCTCTGGACCGAGCAGCTCTGGCAGCGGCTCGGATGGCGAGCACGTAGAGGAACGGGCGGAAGATGTGAATGAGCTCTGCTGAGACGTGCATGCATCTGGGGGGGTGGGGAGAGAGAGGGGGAATTGTGAAGCGGGAGGGTGAGCAAGTGTGAGTCATGCTTCTGATGGCAAGGGTGAGCAAGTGTGAGTCATGCTTCTGATGGCAAGGGTGAGCAAGTGTGAGTCATGCTTCTGATGGCAAGGGTGAGCAAGTGTGAGTCATGCTTCTGATGGCAAGGGTGAGCAAGTGTGAGTCATGCTTCTGATGGCAAGGGTGAGAAAGTGTGAGTCATGCTTCTGATGGCAAGGGTGAGCAAGTGTGAGTCATGCTTCTGATGGCAAGGGTGAGCAAGTGTGAGTCATGCTTCTGATGGCAAGGGTGAGCAAGTGTGAGTCATGCTTCTGATGGCAAGGGTGAGCAAGTGTGAGTCATGCTTCTGATGGCAAGGGTGAGCAAGTGTGAGTCATGCTTCTGATGGCAAGGGTGAGCAAGTGTGAGTCATGCTTCTGATGGCAAGGGTGAGCAAGTGTGAGTCATGCTTCTGATGGCAAGGGTGAGCACGTAGAGGAGAGGACGGAAAAACGTGGATAAGCTCTGCTGAGACGTGCATGCAGATGGGGAGATGGGGAGATGGGGAGAATGGATGGGGATAGAAGAGAAGGGGAGAAGAGAATGGAGAGACGCCTCATAAGTTGGGAGGGTTTGAATGGAGTGGCGGGCACGTGGAGCAGAGAGAGCGCAGAAGGCGAAAAGAACACGACAAAGTGGGATAGAGAGCAGTGCGGCAGAAGACTCACCGAATCCAATCTACTTGCTTTGACTTGGCCAATGCTGGACTTTGTTCGCCAGCTGCCGTGGTGTCCGCATCTTCCACGCACGCAGCTGACGTGGCAGGCCCATGTTCCACGCGTGCAGCTGACGTGGCGACAGCTGGAGCCTTCTCAACAATCCCATTGGAGTCAGCTGCCTGCACCCCGCCTGGGTGTTCTGCACCCGCTGCTGCAGCGCTTGCAGCAGCAGCAGATGCGGCAGCAGCATTCCTCACACCACCAGCACCACCGTTTTGCTGTGCCCAATACTGCTGCTGCTGCTGCTGCTGCTGCTGCTGCAGGTTACGTTGTTGCTGCTCATAATACCACTGTTGCTGCTGGTAGTGCTGCTGCTGCTGCTGCTGCTGCTGCTGCTGCTGCTGCTGCTGCTGCTGCTGCTGCTGCTGCTGCTGCTGCTGCTGCTGCTGCTGCTGCTGCTGCGGGTACTGCTGCTGCTGCTGCTGCTGCTGCTGCTGTTGGTACTGGTTCTGCTGGTGGTGCTGGTGCTGGCGGTGGTAATGACGGGAGTGCTGCTGCTGCAGCTGCTGCCCCCCCACTTGCCTTTGGAACCGTTGAAATGCACCCAAAGCCCTGGTCGTGGCTGCCTGCTGCCCATTCCTGCCCCGGTTACCACCGTTACCACTGCTGTAACCCATTGGACCGGCTGTGTTATGCAGCTGCTGCTGATAGAGGGACGGCTGCTGGGCTTGTAACGAGGATGAAGTTGATGGGGTAGGGGAGGGTTTGCTGGGGCCGGGATTCTCCGAGCTGCCTCCTCCAATAAGAAGTCGCCACTTGTCACGGTGCAACAGAAGCAGGCGGATTGCGGCCCTACAGGGAAGACACGTCACCATCCCAGTCAGCACGAGAGGAGCAGAAGGAGAAAGGAGAGAGAAAGGGTGAAAAGAGAGGATGAGGAACAGAGAGGGCCCCCACCAAGATTCACTCCTTCAGCAAAACTGAAGTCTTCTACAAAAAAAGGCCCTCTCGAATCTCCAAGCCCTTGCTCTGCCACCCCGCCATCTCACCTAATTCCCTTCCTCCCCCTTTTTTCCCCACCCAGTGACTCACTTGGCGGCTTCAATGCCAGCAACAGCAGTCCACTTGCCCTCCTCCCCCAGCCATTGCTCTGCCGCCATCTCCCCCAGCACCTCCCCCTCTTTCACCACCTTCCCCCGTTCCCCACCCACCCAGTGACTCACTTGGCGGCTTCGATGCCAGCAACGATGCTCCACTTGCCCTCCTCCCCAAGCCACTGTTCTGCCGCCATCTCTCCCAGCACCTCCCCCTCTTTCACCACCGCCAGCACCAGCGCCCACGGCACCACTCCCGAACTTCCCCCTTCCTTCTCTTCCCCCTCCCCCTCTCCCCCCTCACCTCTTCCTCCCGCCTCCCCCGCCCCACCCCTGTCACCCTCTCTTCCTCCGATTATTCCCCCCGCTCCTCCCCCCCATCCTCCCCCCCTTTCCCGCCCCCATTCCCCTGGGATTTGGCCGCCAGGGGGGGGGGTGTGGGGAGGGGGATATGGGTACGGGGAAGGGGGGAAACCAGTGGCGGGGAAAGGATGGGGGGAAGCATGCGGGGGGGAATTTTGATTGGGGGAAGGGGGGTGGGGGAAGGAGGCAGGGTGGCCGATGACAGGGGGAGGGGTAAAGGCTGGATGGGAGTGTGGGTGGGGATGATAATGCTGCTGTAGCTGATGTTGCTGGTGCTGTTGGTGCTGGTGCAGCTGGTGGGGGTGTTGCTGGTATTGCTGATGCTGAATGAACTCTGGAGGGCCGTTGTGACTCAACAGAGCATGACTGTGCGACGGGTACGGAGGTGCTGCAGGAAGGTTCAGGTTCGGTGCGTGGAGGTTCGGAGTCTGGTTCGGAGGGAGGTTCGGAGGAAAGCCGTTGGGTTGGAAGAGAGGGAGATTGCTGTTCTGGGTCAGACGAGCCTGCTGAATACGCAAGGGCAAGGAAGAGGGTTGACTGGCAGGCCTATGGGAGCGAGTGGTGTCTTGAGAAGAGGCTTCAGTGGGAGCTGTCTCGATAATGTGGTCGTTTACAACGGAAATCACTCCAATCAATGTCGAAACTGCCACCAAAACAAGGAAAAACGAAGAGGTGAAATCTTGTAACATTTGCCAGAAAAATAAACCAGGTGCGCACATATATTGCAGCCGTCAACAGTTTTGCAAAAATACTCGGACAAACAGAAATGAGAGAGCAGAAACGTTAGCTTACGAGCTTCTGGTGCGAGCTCTGACTCGGCGAGTCGATCAGGAAGGAGCCATGTTAGGGTCTGTGCATGTGGGGATGGATGGAGGGAGAAGCAGGGAAGAGGTCGAAGTGGGCATAAGAGCTCAGCCGTTTAGCGGGCGAGTCGATCAGGAAGGAGCCACGTCAGGGTCTGTGCATGTGGGGACGACGGAAGGGAGAAGCAAGCAGGTAGAGAGGATGAGAGAGGCAGAAAGCCGGGCTTTAAACGCAAGCATGCTGACTCGACCATGCGTTCTGACAACAAGCACTCGCATTCACCATGCTTTCGCTTCACTCACATTCGGCATCTTCTCGCTTCACTCACATTCGTCAACCTCTCGCTTCACTCACATTCGTCAACCTCTCGCTGCACTCACATTCGCCATGCTCTCGGCCGACGACAGCCATTGTCGGTTGCGGCGAACCCAGTCCTTGTACGCATCGAACACCGCCACCGCCATGACCGTGATTTCGCTTGACTTATAGGCCTGCTAACGGATCTCTGCTACTCAATATCGAACCCAACTACTCAATATCGAACCCAGCTACTCAATATCGAACCCAGCTACTCAATATCGAACCCAGACCTTCTACGCATCGAACACCGCCACGACATGACCGCGACGTGCTCTTGATGAATCCTGAGCCGACTCAAAAGCCGCTGCTACTGATCGCTGCGTTGCACTCAGAGACCCTCAGATTCTCGCGAGTATCGTCCGCTCCTTAGCTCTTGCACGCATCGAGCCCCGCCACTGATGGCTTCCTGCTCGTGATCGCCGCATTGCGCTCACGAATGTCGTCACGAAATCCAGATACTCTCGCGAATATCTCGTTTCAACCACTCCTTCACAACAATTCTCACGAGCATTCCTACCTAGATGTGGCTGAGCTCCTAGTAACGAAGATTACCGCAGCACATCTTCCCGTCACACCTTGATGTTCCGTATGTTTCATTGGATCAGACAATTACACCTGTGTTGTGGCTCTTCAATTGCTTGTGTTCGGTTCGGGGCAAAGCAAGGTGACGTGCGGTTCAGAGAGCTTAGTTGTTTAAAATACCAGCTGATTAGACTTCTCAGATTTTTTCTTAAAACTATTTTAGCTTTGGCAAGTTCGGTGGACGCTATCAATTATTATACTACAGACACAGCCCCACAGGCTGGTAAAATACTAATGCTAACAAACAACATGCTGGCAATCAAGCCATGGAATGACATCCCATGACCAGTAGCCACCATGCTGGAAAACAGGAGATGCAGCACCAGCCTTGGTACCGCAAAAAAGGAAAGAAGATGAAACCAGAAACAGCACCAGCACCAGGCTAACTGGCACTGGAAAAAGGGTGGTGGAAAAGGGTTGTACTAGCGTCCTTGAGGGTAGTAAAGGGCTGAAGCACAGGAGACGCACACCCGTGGAGGTACACCAGCTGCCGCCAGTGCCAAAAAACGGGTATGCACCAACCTTGCAGCTTCATCCTGTCACAACCATGCTGAAACTTGAGATCCTTCAAACCCTCATTCATCTCAAGTAGACCTGAAGGTGAAGCTCCATGCTCAATGAGAGCTGAAATGGGAGCAGGAATGCTCAATCCGCATGGTTCATGATTCGAGCGGATCAGATTTGAACGCCGAGAAGGGACGGCCCGGGGCGGAGAAACTGATGGTAGGTTGGCTTTAGGCGGGGCTCGGGGGATGAAATCGGGGTGAAGAATTCGGATACTCCCGAGGACGAGCCTGACGACGACGCTGAGATGGAGCGCGACTCGGCCTCGAAGGCGCGGAGGCTCGCGAGACGCCACTTGTACGCGCTGGTAGCGTCTTCGCTAAGGTCGTTCTTGATTGGGAGTAGGTCTTGGAATGAGATTGTCTCGCTGGTCTCAGCTGAATTCGTCGCGAAGACATCAGATGAGTCGCCTGTGCGAGGGATCTTCTTGGGATGTGTGTGGTCGGGCGACACAGCAGGCGACGAACTAGGCGACGCTGTCGCCGGGCCGGTGGTCGTCGACGGCGACGACGGCGGCGACGACTGCAAGCTCCGCACGACAAGCTCGAGAAGCGAAGCTGCCGCGTCGCGCTTGGCCTTACTGGTAGCAGTTGCGCTCCGCGCAGCCGACGTGATTCTTCCTGCAGAAGGGCGCTGCTGCTTCGGAGACAGGTTCGGCTGTCGAAGCTGGGTCAGAGGCTCGGCAACATCGAGGGCCTGCTCGTCGCAGGTGGTGGTCGCAGCAGTGTTGTTTGAGAGTTGCGCTACGACAGCCTCCTGCTGTTGCGACTGCTGTTGCGACACCTGCTGCTGCGACGGCCGCGACGGGATTACCTGCGACGCCTGTCGCGGGAACACAGCTCGTCGCGCGTGGGCGAGCCACGGGTGCGACATCACACCGTCGATGTCATATCTCTGCGCAGGATCGACGATCATCATTCGGCAGATCAGATCCCGCGCCGCAATCGACAACTTCGCCCATCCGGAACTCCGGAAGTCGTTCGGGGTCAGCTGACGCCGGTTTCCGGGAAACGCGGGCCACGTGGAAGTGAGCATGGAGTAAAGGAGCACGCCTAGAGACCACACGTCAGCCTTGGTGTTGTACGGCTGTTCTGCGAGCATCTCTGGTGCTTCGTACGGCATACTCCCACCGATCCCAACCATCGCGCACCCCGGCTTCAGCTGGAAAGCCAATCCGAAATCCGCAAGACGAACGGAGAGATTATCCGCGACAGAAGCAGAGGAAGATCCGGTAGTAGCGGCGGCGCTGGTCGTTGACTTGGTGAGAAGGATATTCTCTGGTTTAATGTCGCGGTGAACGATGCGGTGCGCGTGGCACCATCGGACGGCGCGGACGATCTGAACGAAGATTTTCGCCGCAGACGCCTCATCCAGGCCGTCGCCTGAACGGTCGACCAGATCGAAGAGATCCCCGCCGTTGCACAGCTCCGTTACAAGATAAACGGTCTTGTCGTCGGCGTATACATGTGCGAGTGACAGAATATTTTCGTGGCTGCCCAGAAGGGACAGGGAGTAAATCTCCCGTTGAAGATCCGCCATCTCAGCCTCTGACAGACCCGCGGTGCGGATCTGCTTGCACGCCATTTGCTGACCCGAGGCGCGATCCACGCAGCGCCATACCTTGCCGTACTGACCCTCGCCGATGATGTCGCTGAAGGCGAAATCTTGCCAGAGCTGCGACGATGGCTTCGGCTGCGGCATGATCGTCGGAGCGTGCGACTGAATCGACAGATGCGAGCGGATTTGTGACGGATACCCGTAATCGACAAAAGACACAGCTCTGTGCTAAGGAGCTTTTTGAGACAGACAACTTCTGAAGAGATGGAGATGGGATCAGGATAGGTAAAAGATGAATGACTGACGCCTAATATATCTCGAGTTGGGGGAGGTTAGTTCCTCCTCGCCCTCGACTGCTGCGGCTGGGAAGAGCGGGTAACTGACGCGTTTCTTGGTTGTCGTATTACGAACGGATCGCTCGCTAAGGATAAAAGGGACCGTGGCGGCTGCAGTGGTATTGCAACAGCGACTGAAGCACCGACGAATCGTTGGTAAGATAAAAAAAGAGCACGCGTGTCTGGTACAGCAAAGCCACGAATATCGACCGAAGCACCTGGAAGGAAACTGGTGAAGAGTGCAGCAGCAGCCCAGAGGACCGCAATTGGCAGCTGCAGCGGCAATGGGGCATCCCTTTGTATGTGCGAGACAAAGGTTGTGGTTGAAATGGCGCATCGCATTCTGTGCTCCCTAATGTTTGGGTGGAGTGTACGACGCGCAGAGCAGCAGCAGTTCGTTCCCCATGCTGCTTGTGCGTGCTCTCCCTCCGCATGTCCGGGTTCGGGGCGCGGAGCAACATTCTGTCATGCGGGAACTAGACATATGAATCACCGTTTGAGTAGGTTTACAAAAAGGTATGTAATGGTTCAGGACGGTTACACTCGACAACCGATTCAAATAGTACCAAACCGCAATCAGCCGTTCTGGTTCAGCTTGAATGAGCTGAGAGACCCACATCTGCACGCTCAACATAACCCTGAAGGATGTGCACACAGTGACTGGTAACTGGAGATTATCGAATACGCGACGACGGAATTCGCCAATACCTAGCCAATCGTAACCGGCGCTGTTCTGACATCGATGTGCTTCGAGAGAACGTGAAGCTGGCATGCGAAGGGGCATTCCTTCCGCGAAAGGAACCAAAGGAGGCCAGCAGGAGACAAATGCCACACAGCAAACGCTCACTTTACTCAACATCCAACCAATCCCAAAGAGGCAGTGCATGGACACTGCCAGGCCAAAACAAAAACCGAGTCGTGCGCACCTTAGACGTGACGTCAGAAAACAATTTCCACCAATGAATGTAGGTTCTTGTTATCTCGGATGCTTGAAGTTGCATTCCTTTCCCGCCCAAAACATGAGCGCCTGCTGTGAAACAGCTAGGATGTGGCTGCAGTTGCATTTCAAAAGCTGTCTTCACTTGCCTTAGATTTTGGTCTGGTCCAGATTTCTTACCAGAATCTTCTTCGTCGCTTGTCAAACCTACAAGTGTTGCACTTAGGCCCAGTTCGGCAGGCATTATAAAAACGGTTTCCCCGTATGGGCTACAGTAAACCGACCACCCTGGAACCTTCCGTGATAACCTGCCAAGAGGTTATCAAGGCTCGATATAAGTGGATCTACTCCGAGCCTGAGCGGTTGAAAACGCCAGCCGAACAGCCCTCTAAATGCTGGCGTTTTCAGCCCTTCGATGCTTCCAGGAATCCGTCGCCCCTGGCAAACAGACGCACCAGTGATCCGCCGCATGGTCCATCGTCGAGAGCCACCACCATCCGGCGGATCACTGATCCGGGGCAACCACACCATGCCCTGATAAAAACAAACCCCGGCTTTCGTACCCCTTTTCTTGCCCATTCAAAACATTGAAGCCCAACCACACTTCCACAAACAATTCAAACACATGATCCACTCGTACTAGGGTTGACACTCTACTCGCATCTACCGCCGTGAAACGACCCTCCGTTGCCAGCCCTCGCCACAATACCTAGCCATGCAACGACCTGAGCTTCTAGGACGCCTTAGAGCGGTATCTTCAAACACGCAGAGACGTAGTGCGTCCAGCTTAGGCAACGGCTGCGGCCCTTCCTCTACAAATAATATGGCTGGAGCCGCCGCTAATACATCAAATGCGGCGGTTAGTGCAGGCAGTGGCCCTCCCCCAGTAACGCCAATATTCCTCCCCATGACTATGTGCTCTCAGACAGGCGTCCAAGGGGTGGCAAATCCCGAAATCCCATCGGCGTTTAGCTCGCTTCGAATTGGAGAAAATGGCGGCATCCGAAGCGCCGATTCACAGACCCCTTCCACGCCAGACGGCGTACCACTGCCTGCTATCGCACCCCATGGCGCGGCAGGGTCCGTAATCCCCCCTGTTCCACTGGCGAACAACTCTACCGGAATGGGTTTCACTCGCAGCGTCGAACCTGCACATGCACAGACCCTGTCCAATCCGGAAATCGGCGCATCAGCAAGCGTCGCGCCTATTGGTAGTGTAGGGGTCGCAGCTCTCCCACTTCCTTCAACCTTGAATGCGTTCGGGACGGGAGAAAATGTCCGCATTGATCCCGCCAATACACAACTCCCTCCCACACCTGGTAACTTCTCCACGCCTACCAGCGCACAAGCTGCCGCGCTGGGCGCGGCATCACCCCTTCTTCAGGCTCCCCTCATCTCTACCGGAATTGCTTCGCATGACAGCGTTGGTCCCGTCGATGGCGGAGTCCCCAGCACTCCTGGCAACATCCGACTGCCATGTGCAGGCACAACGAGTGGCGCGCAGGCGGCGGCCTCCTCCTACAACACGGCGCCGCGCTCATCCTTCGGATCTGGAGCTAGTGCCCGCACAGGACCCGGCTCGAGCCAGAGGCGGCTACGGCCTGGACTTGATCCGCACGTTGAAAACAGCGTCGCGCGTGGCGACGAAGTGACAGAGACGTGCAGCCCAGGCGGCAGCGGTCGCGTGTGCACTGCTCGATGGACTCCCGAGCAGACCACAGATCTTCTAACTATCATCCTACATGTGCAACAGTCTCACGGTCTGCAGCCACACGAGCCCATCGGGAGCTGGAGAGATGTGCACCGTGAGTGGTCACGAATGCATGCTGACCGCCCTTACACGCTCGACCAGCTGGAGAATCGGCTGCGCGTGGTGAAGCGCTGGCTGCCTGAAATAAAGTGGCTGCAGGAACAGGTTCCCACGGGCATAAACTGGAACCCGAGGACCGACCGCTTCAGACCCCCTCCTGCGGTGCGTCTTTTAACATTCTTGTCTTTTAGCTGCATATCCATCAAATTTGCCTTTTTCCATGGAAAATCTGCCCCTTCCTCTCTCCAAACATGCAGGTGCTTGAAATAGTGTCCAGACACCAGATGTGGCGGGAGAGGGCGCATCGGTGGCAGCACGATATTGCCCCGTGGCTTGACCTTGCGGCACAACTCGACTCCAATGGCGGCAGCCGAGGTCAGTACGCAACCACGGGAGATGATGGTCCCCGCTCCTACTCGGACGACCCTGGCGCACTTGGCGAGGGACCTGCATCAGAGGGAACATCAGGAGGCCGCGAAGGGGGGGACTCAGGAGTGAAGAATAGTCAACGGTTCAGATGGGTAACAGACAATATTGGACTGAAGGGATGTGAGCTAGATGACTGGGAGACAACGGTAAAGTCAACTCAGGAGTTTGTGGTCAATCTAGAGAGAAGTTTAGATTATATGGTGTATAAGCGTATTGCCTCTTGGCCATGCATGTTAAGTTATGGACCCAATGTCGTACAAAACAGCCTGTAGGCAGGACATTATCCGTGCTACCATGCCAGGTCAACAATATAACTATTCTGCCCTCCTTAGATAGTCAATGTCAATGCATTCTAAACAATGACTAGCAAATGCTGCTGCACGAGAGGCCAGGGTTCAGAATCAGGCAATCGTCCGAGACTCCCACAAGGCCGTTGCAATGTTGTCACGCCGCTGATGCCCGATAAGAGCGTGCTGGCGTGCACGACCGGACAGTGTGTTGCTGTCACCCACAGCGTTGGATTCATGCTCATCTTCGGTACGGGTGTCGTACACGAAGTCCGACCCCCCCCCTAGTTTTATGAAGTTGTGAAGCACGAAGCAGGCAATGGCGATGTCACATTGCAAGGCAAAGGAATAAGGACACATCAGCTTCAGAATGGGAAACCGGGCCTTCACCTGGCCAAACGCGCATTCCACATGCGAACGCATACCGGAATGCGTACGGTTGAAGAGCTCCTCTTTCCTCTCTGGTGAGCGCCCTGCTTGCTGCCAGCGAGTAAGGTGATATAACACCTGCCGTTAAGGAGAAAGGCAGTGGGCGTCGTTGCGAAATCCAGATTCGGCGAGAAGGTACTTGCCGCGTGGTATACGAAGGCCCCTATGCAAGGCATTCTAGAAGACGGTTGAATCATGGGCGGATCCCTCCCAGCCTGCTAACACGTACAAAAATAGATCATTGAAGGAGACGACCGCTAAGACATTCTGAGATACTTGACCGTGCCGATTATAGAAGGCTTGTTGCCCATCTCGTCGAATACACGCAGGAATAAGGGTCCCGTCCACTGCGCCGAGTGCGCCTCTAAAATGTGCGTACTCCGGACGTGATCCGAGGAAGTCGGTGTCTTCCTCTGTTGGCATTTGAACGAGAAGCGGTTTTAGGCGGAGTATGGCAGTGCACACTTCGGCAATTAGCGCACTGATCGTTGAACCACTGTGCTGCCAGCGCTCTTGGAGGTCGCGGTTAGATGCTGCATGCCCTACGAAACTTAAGAATATGAGGAGCTTTTCAGGGAGGCCAATGTGCCTCCCTGGCGTCAACAACTCCCTACAGCTAACGAGATTGCAGAATGTGCTGAATAAAGCGGGTTCCATTCGTGTGGCTGTACGCATTCGCTCCGGATGTCCCGTCAGTAACTCATGAGCGTAAGCCCGACCGGTTAACGTTGACGTATGTCGTGGCTGGTGCATGTATCTGCTAGCTGCTTTAGCCAGCAAGTCAGACATAATTATACGTAGCGCCGCTAGACGACCATTTAAGACTTGCTCCACCAGGCTGTGGCGCGACGAACTGTCTGATCCGAGGGTAATGTATAAGTTCGTCAGTCGTAAGGGATCGAATGAGCCAGCCATTC